CCCTCTCAATTACATTTTTAAATAGTGAATTTGTAGAATTTTAATTCAAAATTATGATGACCAATTTCCTATATACAATAAGGTAAGCTTCAAAACCACTTCTAGATTAAAAATAATGTAGCTGTGCACAATTAGGCATGCCTGTAATTCCCAGCTACCTGGGAGACTCAGGCAGGAAGATTGCAAGTTTGAGGCCAGCCTGGGAAACTAAGCAAGATTTCATCTCAAAATAAAATTTTAAAAGTTCTGGGGATGTAGATTAGTGGTTGAGCTCTTGCCCTGCATATGTGAAGCCTGGGTTCAATCCCCAGAACTACCACCGATAAACAACAACAACAATAAGGAGAAGGCTGCAGGTGCCTACTTTCTTCTGTCATCTCAGTGCTTGTTAAATCTTCTGTCTTCTTGGAGTAATCTGTTATATTGAAGCCAGTAAGCATACTTAGAAATGAAAGTTCTGCTTCTAAATGTCTAAGATGAGTTTTCGGGTCTTTTGAAGATTCCCATCCTGCAGAATCTGACTGGTGTATCTCTTGAAATGATTTTCTAAATAAGTAAATACAAGAAAGTTATTCCAATTACAACAAATATTTCACTTAACACCCCAATTTCCACAAACCATTCCCATTTTTGATCTGCTTAATCTCTTCTCATTAAAACTACATAATAGGGGGCTGGGGATTTAGCTCAGTGGTTTAGCCGCCTGCTGCACAAGCGCAAGGACCCGAATTCGATCCCCAGTACCAAAAAAAAAAAAACACCTACATAATAATTTTCTCAAAACCAATGTGGCCATTAACACTGTAATCTCTAATTTCAACAAAAAACAAACATAACCCGGGCGGGGATTTAGTTCAGTGGTTCCGTTGCCTGCCCCACAAGCGCAAGGACCAGAGTTCAATCCCTGGTACCAATACCCCCCCCAAAAACAAGAAAAAAACCCCAAACAAACATAACCAAATTATGTTACTATATTTGTACACATTAGAAACTTTAAAACAAATTAAAACAGGAATACTTTGCAAAATTGAAATGTCAGTTCTCATCCAAGAATTCCCAACGTGACTATCTGATTTCCCAAGACATCTCAAATAATTTTAAGCTATCTTAAAAATTAAAAATGGAATTATCTTTAATTTCTAAAAAAAAGTGAGTATCACAAAATATTTTATATAAGTATCTCAAGAAATCTAAGAATACAAGGGGTAAAGATTCAAAGGAGTAAGAAACAGCAAAATCTCTTTAAACAATATTATACCCAGACCTTCTTCAATGAGACAAAGTAACTTTATTGACCTTGGAAAAAAGAACTTTAGCTAATAATTGCATCAGATTATTGTACTTTTTGTCATTCATTATTTCCTCCAAATTCTCTGCTATATTTCTGTCATCTTAAAACATTCCTTCCTTGGATTCTGGGGCACGACTATCCTGATTGTCATGTTATATCCTGGGTCCTCCAATCTCTCTTCTTGTTATCACTGTTAGAGGAAATCCCTAATGCTCTTGCCTCTGCTATCCTAAACATGTATTCTTTTGTTTAGCCTCAGCTCTTTTTAAAAAGAGGAATCAAGATATACCATGTAAGGGCTGGGGATTTAGCTCAGTGGCACAGCACCTGCCTGGCAGGCACCAAGTCCTGAGTTTGAGCTCTGATATTAAAAAAAAAAAGATAAACCATGTATAGATACAAATTGCCTACAATGATGTGATCATTATGTATATTTAAACTGTACCAATTAAATGAATTTTAAAAATATGCTAATAACTCCTAAAATATACTTACTACATATCTTTTCTTCCTGCAAGTTAGGATATTCCACAAAATATTTTCTTTCACTGACCTGATATCTGAAATTACTATCATCCTTTCTGCTCCCTCAAAAAACCTATTTGTAATTCCACTACATTAGACAACACCCTTATGGCCTTATATATAATATCCATGGGAAATCATCTAATACCATATTTACACTGAGGATACAAGATTGGCAACAAAGTCTGTAACATTCTTTTTCCGTTTTGTTTTAATGTTAATTTTAAATATTAACATAATTATATTCTGTATCATCTGAAAGTCTACCACACCCTCTCTTGCATTTTCCATCAGGGATGCTAAAAAAAATTACTTTAAATATAGAAAGCCAGGGCCAGGAATTTAGCTCAGTGGTTCCGGCATCTGCCTTGGAAGTGCAGGGTCCCGAGTTCGATCCCCAGTACCAAAAAAATATATATATACTACCTAAATATAGAAAGCCAATTAAAAAAAAAAAACAATGGCAATTGTCAAACATAAATGACTCCTGCCCAGTGAACACAAAATGTCACAGCAAGCTATGAGTGAAGATTTCAGGTATTTCAACAGAGCAAAGTAGTAAAAGAACCAAAGGATATGGGAAAATTCAAATGAATCCATAGTCAGCAGCTGAGGAGGAGGTTGTTACCGTTTAATAATGGATATAGTGTTTCAGACCAGAGTAATGAAAAATTTCTGGAGATGGATAATGGTAATGCTACATAATAATGTGAATATTGCGAAACTATACACTTAAAAATGGTTAAAATAAGGCCAGGGATTTAGCTCAGTGGTGTCGATGCCTGCCTCACAAGTGCAAGGTTTCGAGTTCAATCCCTGGTACCAAAAAAAAAAAGGTTAAAATAGTAAATGTTATGATATATATATAAAACTTACCACATGTACAAGGCAGAAGCAGAATATTCTTATAGAAATTACTTATTTGAGCAAAATATCATTGTTCTATTTCAACTAATGTTTGAATTATTTGCAGCTAGCTTGAATTTTATTGGTTTTGGAGTTTTATTTGCAAATCTGTCTGTGCAGCTTAAAAATTTCTGTCGTAATTAAGAGGTTCAAAAGAATTATTTTCACCTTTGGAAGGAGGGAGGGAGAAAGGAAGGGACAAGAAAAAAGTGAAAATAGAAGGAAAAAAATGGAAACAAAGCCTTTATACATGGGGGGAGGGGCTTGAGGGGGGGAAAGGGATAAAATAAAATTTTATAAAAAAAGATATTCCTTTTAAAATGAATCTACACAAGATTTGAGTTTAAAAGTCAATGATTGTTAATTAGCATTTATTAAAAGTACTGTTCTAAATGAATTATATATATGAACTCATCCTTAGAACAGTCTGAAAACTTAGATTTTACCAAATAAAAAATCAAAGTATAAGAGATCACCCAATCAAGATTACTCAGCCAATAACACCCAACATTTGAAGGCAGGCAATTTGGCTCCAGAATGTGTGCACATAAACATAGCTCAATCCTTTAGCTCCAATTTTCCTACCTCCTATCTATCCAACTATTTAAAATCACTTGAAAAGAAGCTTGATACATAAGTCCCAATCTTCCTTTTTCATAACAGGGAGAAATAACTTCACATTAAACCTAAATAAACCTAAACAACTTTGACTGATATTTAACAACTCCCATTATCTGGATTTTCCTTACTTTCCCATCCTGGTCATTGAGGAGTCCCAGACTATGCAAATAATATACTATAGTATCTGGGCTAATAATGACATCTTATGGTCAGTAAAAGAAACCATTTTTCCCCGTAGAATGATACAGTAGGGAAAGAATGTCTTGTTAAAATGCAGGTTTTCATTCACCAACTCTTGATATGAAGCTTTAGTTTATACTTCTCACAAAACCCTACGTGATTCTAATGCTTACAGCTGGTGTGTCATACCCTTAGTAGCAAGGGTCATTAATAAATTTATTCACTTGTGGAGGTGCATACACATGCCTTGTTAACCTGTTCCCCTTTGAACAATTAGATTTCCCTATTTCCCTCTCCCTTTAACAATTACAGCTTTCTGTACTTTCATGAGCTTAAAGAACATCATGCAAGAATTTTTCTTTAGACCTCCTCATGCTTCACATTTTTTACTACTCTTGGGCATTTAGCTGAGGAAAATCCCATTCTCTCTTGCACCTATAGAAAATTAGTCTTTTTCTTGTTTCATGGTACTGGCGATTGAATTGAACCCAGTGTGCGGCACAAGCACTCTGCCACTGAGCTATATCCCCAGCCCTTTTAAATTTTTACTTATTTTTTTATGGTATTACTGGGGATTGACCCCAGGACCTTCACACTGAGTTACACCCGTTACAGCTGAATGGGCCAAAACTAGTCCAAGTTCTTGTGTACATCAAGGAAAGAAATGCCAAGTACAACTGTAGTATGTAGCTACATTTATTGAAGATGGCAGGACAGTAGCAGCAGAGTGGGCAGAAGGGCAAAGGGAAAAAGCAGGAGGAAAAGGAACTGAGGAACAGAAACCCTTGACAACTCAGGCTTCCAGTATTTAAAGGGTCAGCTGCTTCTGACTCCAGGTGCCTCCCATTCTGTCTCTGGTGTAGATGACCTGCCTCCTCCCCCACCTTGACCTCCTAAACTTAAACATGACTAGCCATTAGGGTTTATGTTTATAGTTGAATGAAGGGAAGAGAGTGGCTCCCCCAATTTCCCTATTTCTAACTGTACTATACTACCCTAATCCCTTTTTGTATTTTTTTATTTTGAGATTAGGTCTTACTGATTGCCCAGGCTGGGCTTGAATTTGTGATCTTCCTGCTTCAGCCTACAGAGTGGCTGGGATGACAGGCCTGCACCACTGCTGGCTTCAAATTAGCCACTAGTATTTAAAAAAAAAAAAAAAAAGATGATATATGTTTTCAAGTGCCTTGCATGTTTGAGATGATACATACTTGATAAATAATTAACTGTTACAGACATTTCTATTTCTCTCTTTTTCAATCAAGGGAAACGCCTGGACTCGGGAACTACATTTTTGGGGGTTCCAGTTCAGCTCTTACATCTCCTTTCTCTACCTTGGACAAACTACTTAACTTTTCTGATTCGCAAGTTCCTTAAATTTAGAACGCAGTTAACACCAGCACCTACCTCAGAGGGTTGTCAAATTCTACAGGCTATACCAGCCATTTTTCTTCATATCAACTTATCTCTTTTTAGAAGTTATTTTTCAAAGAAAAGTTTACGTTATTATCATAAACTAAAAATCAGTGTTAATTACCATGGTTAAGTGGCCCACAAAAAAAAAGTCCGTGAAACCGAGTTATTAAAATCCGAATTGGATACAGCTAGCTCCCTGTAGAAGGCAAGATTTAGTTAACAGAGGTAGGCAAAACTTTTTCCTGGACAGTCACCGATTGGAGCAAGAGAACAGGTTAAGAAAACGACTTTCCCGTGGCAGACGAGTTACTGAACTGCAACGCGCTCACAACAGAGCCCCAAACGCAGTGCTTTTAACTGGGCCCCCGTCAGGAAGAGAATCTGTACTGGTTCAAGTCCACATTTGCGGGCGACCCAGGCTACAATTTTCAGCACCAGGCCTGCAAGGAGTTGCAGTCCTGAGCTTTGTGGAAACTCAACCGCCTAGTCCCGGGACAACTCCCATGGGCCACCGCCCACTGGCCACCTACCGGACGCGGGCCCCGTCTTCCCAGGGCGCCGGCAGCTGCTTGCTAGCCTGCTGCAGCACTGCAATCTCCGCCTCCAAGGCGCGCATCTCGGCCCGCTCAGTATCCATTGCCATCCAAGACCTGCCAGAGACGCCTCGGCTACCTCCCCCACCCGGTTCCTGGGTCAGCGCTTCAAGCCTCGCGCGCCTTTAGGGCGCGGACCATTACGGAGCTCCTTGGGGGAGGCGACAGAGCGACGCGTAACCCTAGCGGCCCACAGCAGTCGCCCCCACACTCAAATAATATTCAAGGGCTTTGACGTCGCTCCTCAAGTTGCCAAGTCTGTCTCTGAACAGTTCCAACCTTTTCAAGAGTTGGTTCGCTCCAGTCTGAATCCAAAACCCTCGGCCGCTCACCCCCTCGAGCGGCCACGGAGCTACCCCGATCTTGTGGGGAGCGCTTCTTTATTTTGCTTCCCCTTGCTCACGTCAGCCTACCCGGTGCAGGAGACCAAGGACACGTAACGTCAGGTTTCTTCGGTAGAAACTAGGAAATTTGGCTTGGGCTCTTTTGCACAGGTCGAGGGGAAGTTGGTGCAGACTTACGAGAAACAAAATAAACTTTTGGGTACTGAGTATGGAAACGGAACCTTGAGAGGCTGGGTTGCAAATGGAGTAGGAAGGAAAAGAGAAGGCACCTGCTGAGACATGTGACCAGAAGACACCGGCCTGAGCAGCGCAGGCTCAGAGACAGCGTGGTGAGCACTGGTTTCGGGCATGGGGATGAGGCTGTTCGACTTGGCCTCCTTCTTTTCTTTGGGAAGATAGGGGTGCGTAGGTTGAAGACTATAGCTACCAGGAAAAAGTACACTTTAGCTCTCATCCACACCACGCGAAGTGCATTGGGCTTCTGATCTTGTTTTGTGATTTCACTTGTAAAGTCGGTCAACTATTGGGGAAGGGCGGACTGAAGGCCGCAGGATGCTAAAGGAGATGAGACATCTAAAGGGTGTCAGACCTGAGTACCTCTGGAAAACTTTTCCTGAGTCCCTTCTAATCCAACAACCTTAATATACTGCTAACAATTCCAGGATCTGAAATTAGATCCGGATTATCTATAGTACCTATCGTATCAGTTGCCCTTTTTGTGCCTGAACAGCACTTTGCAGTTTGTGGGTTTTTTTGGTTGATCTTTAATTCAGCACTTTGCAGTTTTATTGCCCCATGATATTGTAATTGCAGCATTTGTTTACTACTTATATGACGGTGGAGTTCCTAGAGAGGTGTTTTTCTCCTTTAGCATTAAGTGAAAAAAAATATGTGAGCAAATAAACAAATAGCCAGGCCTGGTAGCACATGCCTGTAATCCCAGCTAGTTGGAAGGCTGAGACACTAGACAAACCCCAGCTCAAAATAAGGGCTGTGATAGAGCTTAGTACTAGACTTCTTGGTTAGCACACAAGAGGCCCTGGGTTCAATTGTCACTACCAAATAGATGAAAACAGGTAGTGTATAATAATTGTGTTCACTTAGAAAACATGTGTCTGTACCTATATTTATGTGTGTGTGCTGGTGTAGTTCCATAGTGCATTTAGAAACAATGTGAATATAGGGCTTCAGTAGTCTACAGGCATAGTATTGGAAGCAATACAGTAGGAAGTAAAATATAACACCAGGAGACCAATTTAGCATAGAGGGCTCAGGGTGTTCACATTTGAGAAGAACCATGAGAAAGAACTGTTTCTTATACAAAAAATTATCTTCTCACTAGACTACGTCAAGTATATAACCAGTTTTCATGAAAGCCAACAGAGAAACAAAGCGCCTTTTTGTGGGTGGCCTTAGCCAAGCTATTTCTAAGACAGACCTACAAAATCAGTTCAGCAGATTTGGAGAAGTTTCTGATGTGGAGATCATCACACGAAAAGATGACCAAGGTAAATTTATAATTTTTCACTGGGTTGTTAAATGGAAATATAATTCAGGTCAAATATTACAAAATAAAACAACCCCAGAGGTGAATGTTAACTCTGAATAATGAAAGTGATATGTAATATCTAGAAGCACTATGTATGATGTGGAATTTGATCAAAATTAATTTCTGAAATAGGAAAATATCTAAAGCGTCATATTTTAGAAACATCATAATGTTTACTTGACATCATCTTATTCATTTTCTTTTGGAAATTTTAGTAATCATGCTTAGAAAAATACAGTCTTAGCTGGGTGTGGTAACGTACACGTGTAATCCCAATATAGACAGGTAGTCAGGCATGAGTGGTGGGAGGTGGTCTCTAGAACTGTTGACCCAGTACAGACAGTTCTTTCTGCATGTGGTCTAAGACTGTTGTGGATTCGCCAGCACTCTGGGTGGCTGAGGCAGGAGGGTCTCAGGTTCAAGCCCAGCCTGGACATCTTAGCAACTTAGCTAGACCCTGTCTCAAAACAAAGGGGATGCTGAGGATATAGCTCAGTGGGAACATCTTGGGTTCTAGCCCCAGTACCCGCAAAAAAGAGAGAATGAAAAATACAATCTTTGTATCTAACGAAAAATAAATGATTGTTCTTTGAAGGAATAAGTTTCCAAGAACATCTTTTAAATTTATAAAATTATTTTTTACTGTTCTCTAAGTGAGACTTTAAAATTTTTTTTTTCTTTTTTAGGAAATGCACAGAAAGTCTTTGCATATGTTAACATCAGAGTAGCAGAAGCAGACCTGAAAAAATGTAAGATCATCATATATTTTCTGTGCTATTTGTCATTTGGCATCACTGTGTAACTTAGGATAACTTTGGTTCTAAATCTAAATCTCACCAGCCTCTTCTAAGTTATGAACAGGTAAGAGAATTGTGGTATCCTGCATCTTGCCAGGTTTAGGTCAGTTCCATTTGTGCCTGCAAACTATGTACCATATTGCTAATGGGGTCACTTAAAACCTGGTTTTCTCAAATAATTTGGACAGGGGCCAAGGTTTCATAGAAACTCCCTGTTACACTTATCCTACTGAATGTTTGGCCACACTCCTCAGTCTGTTCATTTCTTGGGCATCTGGTTGTTGTTGATAAATACTATTGAGGCAGTAGAGTATTCCCTCATAAGCCCATCTCTGAAACTGTGATATCTCTTTTTATAAGCTTAATAAAGCTGAGGGGGAATGGTGGCCTTTGGTGAAGAGGAAAGGGGACATAATCCACAGTGCTGCTGATGCAATAATGTATTCTAGTTACTTTGAGGTCAGAAAGTCAGAAAAGGCTGGGCATAGTGGCACATACCTGTGATATTAGTACTTTACGGAAACTGAGTTGCCAACTCAGCAACACCCTGTCTCAAAGGAAAAAATTTTTTGAAAAGAGCTGAGGATACAGCTCACTGGTTTGATCTACAAGTACTGAAAAAAAAAAAAGTCAAGAGATTGCTAGACATGTAGAGCCTAGATGCAGAAGGCTACAGGTTCAATCCCTAGCACCACAAAAAAAAAAAAAAAGTCAAAAGAATTTAAAAGGAACATGCTTTTTGATAGAGGAAGAAGGCCATCAGTCTCCAGTCACTTCATTTGCAGAGATTACTGTGTTGTTCAGTGAGGAAACATGAAATTGTGGTTAAGAACATGTGAGCTTTGCTGTGATACCTGCTACCTGTCGCAGGTTAACAGTCTAAGCCCCGATTTGCTTATCTGGTAAATGAAATAATAGTGCCTCATAATATTACTGTGATGATTAAGTGAAATAATACATTGTACTCAGTATAGTACTTACCACATAGAAAATTATGTTAGTGATTAATTACTGTTAAGGAAATTGATAGAAAACATTTAGAAAAATCAACTAGGGCATAATAATTCAAACATAGTTTGATCATTTGCAATTAATTTGTTTACAGGTTATACAGAGGTAATTGGTATGAGTTGATAAAATAAAGTACTACAGGATTTCAAAATTTCTTCAGATTTGCCCTGAAAAGATTACATTGTGTTTCATAGTTACAGTATGGGAAATGACAAGGAAATAAACTAAATAAATGTCAGTTATTCACCAAAAGTTCTTGACATTAATTAATAAATAAACTGCAAATAAGTTTTGCAGATATGAGATAGGGAACATAAGAAATCTTCAGGTAAATGGTCAAGGTAAGATGGGAGCCTGAGCTACGTCTCTCTCTAGGTTACATTTTTTTTCTACTTTCTTTGTGATAAACAAAACTACTTTCCTTGATATTAATTATAAAAAGCATGCACTGAAGTATATTTTTGTATTTCCATATGCTTTTTTAGGTATGTCCATTTTAAACAAAACAAAATGGAAAGGTGGTACCCTACAAATTCAGCTAGCAAAAGAAAGCTTTTTACACAGGTAAGATTGCTCCTCATGGATTTAAACCCCATTTCTTTATAACAGTTTTTATATATTCACTTACTTGCTTTGAAATTATCAAGTAATATGCAGTACTGTTAGCAAATGCATACAAGTAGAACTGAAGTCTCTCTCAAACCTGATCCTCTTTGTCCCAGACCGCACCAAAAGAGAATTCATTGCATATACCTCTGTATATATTAAACTATTTTAAAAAGAATATTTTCTTTATTAAAACAAGTTTTTTTCTGGCATACGTAACCTTTCCCCTTCTTTGTAATGACTGTTAGTACAATTTCAGAGAGTAGTTGTAGCACAGAGTATTTTGTCCCTTCCACTGATGACATTTAGACTGTTTCCACCTTTATATGATTGTAGATGATCCTATATACGCTCAAGTGTTTTTCTGGGATTTACATCAGAAAGTGGAGTTACATGGACTGGGAATGTAGCTCAGTGGTAGAGTGCTTGACTGGCATGTGTAAGTCCTTAGATTCAATCCTTAGTACCACCACCAACAACAAAAAAAACCCAAACAAAAAGTGGTGCTGCTGAATCTTAGGGTTATGTACACATAAAATTTTAATACACTATTAAATTACTTATGTCGATTTAGATTCATGCTGTATCATACAAAGATATAAAGATAGTAACAGATACTTAGAGAAATAAAAGTAATTATACAAGTAATTTAAGAATAAGACAGTGTAACAACCTTTAGAACTTTAAAAAACCCTGGAGGTAAATTTTCAGAAGAAAAGATTAGTCTGGGAACTTTCGAATTAGGAAACATTTTAAGAATATGAATGGAGTAACCAGAAAAGTTGACAAGATTGTTTTAGACCAAGGAAAGATACAGTCTAAGTGGCAAGCAGCTCACTGGCACATGATTCAGGTGACTGGTCTCACGGAAAAGGTAAGGATTTGATTTTGTTTTTCAGCTGGCGGCCTCTGGCTGTGAACATGCACTTTCCATTCAGCAGCATTTGAATGTGACCATGGGCAGGCCCTGGTACCTTGTGCCCAATAGGAAGAGCGCATGGTGCTGCTGTCTTGGAGTATGTGTGCAAATGTGCTGGAGGATCATGGCTAGGAAGGGAAAATTGGAGACAGAGCAGAGGCAAAGAGACCAGTGTGGATTGATCAGAGCAGTTGTGCAGCCCTGAATGAGTTGGGGGTAACTTGAATTGGAAGGTTGAAATGGCATTCTCTGCATTAGGAGGGCAGAAACTATCAAAACAATTCAGGCTCTATAAAGACATGTCTTCCTCATAGGCAGGAGTAAAGGGAGGGAAGATCTATAAAATGCCACAAGTTCTTAAATTGATAAAGGAAAATTGAGGGAGTTTGTGATTGGTGGTCTTGGTTTGCCATCAAGGGAACCAAGACATCTGCTGAAGCAGAGCAAAGATGTCAGAGTGGACATCAGGGCCGGGGAAGCCAATTGGAGAGGGCAAGTCAGGAGGAGAGAAGCCTGCATGCTCAGCCCTCAACTGCTCAGTCGGCTGCAGCAGGAGGCTGATACATAAACTAGACTTCCACGGTGCATGTTTTACAGGGATCCCTATATCCCTACCAGGCGGTATAGATGTGCAAGTACGGGTAGGTCCCAAGTGTGCCTTGGTAATAAGTGAATAGCTGGTGTTTTTTATGTAATATCCTCCATGCTGTTTTTGGAATTCATAGTTGCTCTAAATTTCCTTGTTTCTTTTCTCTCACACTTTTTCTCATTGATAACTATTTTTTCGTTGTCAAAAGTTAGGGATGTTTTCAAAGAATGTATAATGATTAGTTTTAAAAAGGTTACCCAGGGACCTGGGATTTAGGTCGGTTCCACTGCCTGCCTTCCAGGTGCAAGGTCCCAAGTTTGATCCTTGGTTCAAAAAACAAAAAAAAAGATTACCCAACTATACCTACAGGATTGTCTAGATTACATTTATATTTATTTATTTATTCATTTATTTTTTGTGGTACCAAGGATCGAACTCAGGACCTTGCACTTGCAAGGCAGGCGTGGCACCACTGAGCTAAATCCCTGGCCCCTAGATTACATTTTTTTGGGGGGGGGGTACCAGGGATCGAGCTTGGGACCTTGCACTTGCGAGGCAAGCGCTGGAACCACTGAGCTAAATCCTCGGCCCTAGATTACATTTTTAAATGTATATATCTATGGATAGAACAAAGCTGAGGTAACTAGACAAAAATTTAACAATAGGATATGAGATAAGGAACCATACTTTGTTTTCTCATGTTCCCATGTTTTCCATTTATTCTACAATGAAAATGTATGCTCAGAAAATAATATAGGCCATTATGCTATTCAAAAACTATTCTACTTTTCTTTTAGTTTTTAATACTATAAAGCTTTTTACAGTGTTTAGGATCAACTGAAGGGAAATAACCATTTTCCATGGTTGGTCATTTTAACCCTTATGTATATTTTTTGTTTTGTTTTGTTTTTTTGGTACTGGGGATTGAACTCGGGTCCTCATGCTTGCACAGCAGGTGGCGAAACCACTGAGCTAAATCCCCGGCCCCCCTTATGTATATTTACCCTTTGATTCAGATTGGCCCAAGAGAGAGAAGAAGCAAAAGCAGAGAAAGAAAAATCAACAAGAGGCAAGACCAACTTGTCAGAAAAGATGGGAGGAGTGGATTTCCATATGAAAGCGTTGCCAGGGACAGAAGTACCAGGGCACAAGGTGAGTCTCCTCTGGTACCCTGAGCCAACCTAGGAACTGACACCTGAGACCACATGATTGTGGGTGTCTTGTCTAAAGCTAGTTGCTTTTTTTTTTTTTGGTACTGGGGATCAAACTCAGGACCTTGCGCTTGCATGGTGCCACTGAGCTAAATCCCCAACTGTAAAGCTAGTTGCTTTTTCCCCCTGCTTGCTTTGAAGTAGTTAACATAGATACTGCTTTATGGTTCTGAAAGTGTATTTGTAACTTAGATAAGCATAGTTCTTTGCCATTTTAAAGAAAGAAAATCAAAGCCCAGGCAGATGCAGTCTACCAAGAGATACAGATGTAAGAAGTACAGGTAGGTCCCACGTTTGCCTTTGCCTTTGTAATAGGTGGATAGCTGGTGTTTGTTTTTTTTTTTAATTGCCATATAAAAATTTATTATACCATATTTTGGGGGAATAATGACAAAGAAGTTAGTACTTGTTTAGTGCAGACACAATTTTTTAAAAATATTTTTGGTCACGGCTGGGGATTTAGCTCAGTGGTGCTGCCTCCTGCCTCCAAGTGCAAGGTCCTGAGTTTGATCCCTGGTACCAAAATATATATATATATTTTTGATCCACAGTTGGTTGAATCCATCGATGTGGAATTCATGGATATAGATAGATGGCTGACTGTACAGTGGATGCTCTGGTATACTACTCAGGTCCATCTCCCCATCCTTCCAGGCCTTGAAGCACTGATTACCTCAGCCTCTGAGAGTGCTACTAGCCCTCTCTGGGAACTGCCCTTGGCTGAGAAAAGCTTGTTTTCTAAAGGTCACACTTTTTTGGGACCCACCTATATCCAATGGATGGTCTATTTGGGAATATAAATGCCTAGCCCATTCACCAGTTTGGGACAACTCTCAAGGGCCACTCCAGCTTCAAAACAACTCAGTGCAATTGACTGAGGCCTCCTGTGTGAGTTTCCTGTTCCTGGTTGTTTTAACAAATAACTGTTGAGATGGTGGCTTAAAACAACATCAGTTTTTAACCTTAATGTTCTTGAGGTAAGCAGTTTGAAATGGATCTCACTGGTCTAAAGTAAAGTGTCAGCAGAACCCCATTCTTTCTGGATGCTTGGTATTTTTTATGTAATATCCTCCATGCTATTTTTGGAATTCATAGTTGCTCTAAATTTCCTTCTCTTTTTTTTCCTCACACTTTTTCTCATTGATAACTATTTTCATTGTCACAAAGCTAAGCCCAACAGTAATAACAGCCCACTATGAGTTCAACTTTTTAAAAATTATATTTGTGTGTTATTAATTTGTTTATATTTAATAAATATACTGTATATTATAAATACATTCTTTTCTCTCTTTCTCTCTAGAATTGGGTTGTCAGTAAATTTGGAAGAGTCTTACCTGTTCTTCACCTTAAGAATCAACATAAACATAAAATATCCTTTGTGATTAGCCTCTCAGTACTTTTTACCAGTCTGATAAACACTTGCAAAATACATTTATAATTGCACTGCCTTGATCAATAAATTGTTGGATATTGATTTAAAAATTTGTATTTTCCCACTTTGTAGGCAAGGTAAGATCTTATTACCTACATATATAAAACAAAGAATTGTGAGAGAATGTCATGAGGTTTTACATAATTAAGAAATGAAGTAATGGAGCTGGGGCTTTAGCTCAGTGGCGCCGCACCTGCCTCCCAAGTGCAAGGTACTGAGTTCAGTCCCCCGTACCAAAAAAAAAAGAAATATGAAGTAAGAAATACAAATGATGAATGCCAACAAAGCAGTTTTATTTATGGCTTCATTATACATCTTGTTGCATGTGAATTCACAACAATTGGTAATGGAGCTATAAAGGGTTGAAAGAACAAGGGCCCATTGTTAAAGAAGGCTTTAGAAGAACTGAAATGGTTTTCAAATTACTAGAAAAGTAGTAGGAAGTAGTTAAGTGTAGTGACACAGACTTGTAATCTCAGCACACCGTGGGAGGCCAAGACAAGAGGATCTCAAATTTGAGCCTAGACTGGGCAGCTTAGCGACTTAGCAAGACCTTCTCTCAAAGCAAAAAATTAAAAAGGGCCTGGGTTGTAGCCCAGTATGCAGGTTCTGGGTTCAATCCCCAGTACCACCCCCTCCCCTCAAAAAAGTGGTAGAAAGAAAGAGGAAAATGGAAAATATTACATAAAAATATGTAAGCCAGCAGAAGAATGGTGGACAGAGAAATAATGTTGAGAGAATGTTGAGACCAAGCAAATTCTGATCCCTGTTCAATGAGAACAGTTTGTCTGAGACCTTGAAGAGGTGATGTCATGGCCTTCTGTGTAGAGGGTATGTATACATTATCAGAGGGTTGGCTATAATACAGTCTTAAGTTCTTCCAAATGATGGTGGTAGTACTTGGTTTTAATTCTGGAAAAGTCATAGCTCAATTTCAACAACCCTAATGGGTTAATCTTGGTAGAAAATTGAGAGTAAGATGAAGTAAATAGCTTGCTTGAGATTAAACACTATTCTTTTTTGTTTCACCAGATTGATATGTTTCCCCTAACACTTAAGTGCCTTTGCTTTGTTCCTTGACTGTGGGTAACATCATGAAATATGATCCATCAAAATACTGCCACAACTTAAAGAAGATAGGGGAGGATTTCACAAATAGTATTCCTATAACTAGCCTCACTTGGGAATTGGAAGGAGGCAATGAGCCTATGAGTAAGAAACGGCAAAGAGAGTTCTCTGACTGTCATGATCCTCTCAAGAAGATCATGAAAGTACAAAAGAGCCAGGGTTCCACTGTGAGTCCAAGGACCAGTTGGGTAATGGAGAATAACATATTACCACAGCAACAAGCTGAACAAAAAGCACCTCCTGATTCCATTACTCTTTCTAAATCACACCTTGTACTTGATTCTGATGCTCAAAAACTTAAAAATATACTTTGTCAGACTTCTAACTTGGAAGCTGTCAGGAAGAGAAATAGCATGGATGATGATGATATTGATTCTGAAGATGAATTAAGAATGATACTTGCAAAAGAGGAAAATTTACAGAGAACCTCATGGTCCTCCATCAGTTACTGAAAATGATCCCTTTGAAGTTGTAAGGGATGATTTCAAATTGGATGTTCATAAACTTCATTCTTTATCACGTGTATGTATGAATAATGTCTCTTGCCATGTTAGTGACAATATGGGAAATGACTGTATGATTCAGGTGATACAGATGAACTCATTGCAATGAAAAAAAACATCAGTAAGGTAAAAAACAGTGCAGAATTTTCTCAAACAGAAAAACCTATAAGCAAGAAATCTTTCAAAAAGAAAGAGCTTTCCGGTCACTGTAATAAATACAAAAAAGAAAAAACAAAGAATCAGCCGTTAATCATGGAGTGAAGCCTTTGTCTGATTCTAGCAGCAGTGACAATGAGGAGTCTGAAAGAGATGAAGAATATAAAGCCATGATGAAAAACTGCCCCCGAATTAATCTCACTCTGGCTGATCTGGAACAGCTGGCTGGCAGTAATATGGGGGTTCCAGAAAATACTGAGAGCAGTGGCCCACAGAGTACCACAAGCTGCAAGTTTGATAGAGCTTCCAAGAGCCCCAAGGCTCCCCGTAGCATCTACACAGGCAAACAGTGCATTTGTCCTGAGGAGATTCTGGCTTCCCTTTTAAGGGAAGAAAACATGCACGGTAAACAAACCACAGGAAGGTAAGAAAAAGCCAAAATTTCAGGCATTCAAGGGAATAGGGTGTCTCTATGGAAAGGAATCGATGAAAAAGACCTTGAATATTGCCTCAAATAATATTAATGAAGAACAAAGTTCCTTGAAACATGGGGATTCCAATAGCATTTCCATAGAAAATAGGCTGCCACATGCTAATGGCTAGCCAAGCAAATTAACTTCATGCCAACATACAAAGAAGAAAAATGACCTAAATAACATTCAGCCTCAAAGACAGTTAACTTATGAGACCCAGGATCACAAGGTCGTCTCCCCAAGAAGTTCAGAAAAGGAAAGTAGAAATCTTATTTCTAGTCTGTTGCCATTAAAAGGTAAGAAATCCTTAAGTCTTAGTGCAAAGATTCACAAGATAGGGTTTGATAAAGATAATTGCCATGGTACCCAACAGAGAGAAGAGGCTTCAGAGGAAGAGGAGTCTGATTCCAGCAGCAACACATCTAATGTGAAACCACCAAAGTACTGTCCTGGGGAAGACACTCAGGAGGGCATGGCTGATTTCTTACTTTCTCTTAGTAATTCATTAAGTATGGATGCTAAGGCTAAGCCCGTTGAAGATAATCAGAAGCGTTTGGCAGCCTTGGAGGCAAGGCAGAAAGCAAAAGAGGCACAGAAGAAGCTGGTGCATAACGCACTGGCAAATTTAGTTAAGTATATTTTCAATGCATGGGTTTTATAAAAACTCTTCCCATGAAGGTGTGCCTCCTTAGAACTCATTGTCTTCTTAGAATTTGCCACTTTGCAGGTTATGTGTCCTTGAATTAGAAGCTGCTTTCACCCTAAATATTTAATGCATCCCAAAGGAAGTGAGATTAAACTCTAATATTTACAGAAAACATATGAAATTCATCTAAAATTTTATTTAAAATCTGGGATGTAGCTCAGGTACCTCATCTGTCTAGTGTGCATTCAGCTGTGGGTTTGGTGCCCAGTACACACACACTCAAAATATCCCCCAAAATTTCTTCAACATTTTATCTCTTTTTTTTCCTTTCAGTACCAGACATTGAACCCCAGAGCCTTACATAACATCCCTAGCCTTTTTTTTTTTTTTTTTAATTTTGAG